CGAAATTGGATGAGGATGAATTTGGAGTTCAATGGTTTTGATGTTTATTTTTATTGTGTCTTATGCAGGAGGAGTTAATGGAGATGCAGAAGAACGAGGTACTTGAATTTAGTTTTTGACTCAACTTGCTGGTTGTAGTGGTTTTGATGTGCTGATCGTCGTATTTTTAATTTATGTATACCAGTGATCACCCGGCCTGACTGACCTGAAAGATGATTGATAGAATTCATTAGGTACTTTAGCACCAAAAATCACCACCTAGCCATTTGCAACTAAATCACGATTTTTTAAACTTGGTGAAAATGACTTGAATCGAATCAAGATCATTGTTCTCCAGTGATCAGTGTTTTATGTCACCTGACCGACTGATGTGGCACTTCGAATGGTGTTTTCGATTCGATTTGCAAAATACAGATAGACCACGGTCTTTTTGTCAAGTTCCAAAAGTTATTAAATTGGAAAATGACGAAAAAGGTGGCACTTTTGGTGTAAAAAGTATCACTTTAGGATACTGTTTATAAAATTGATGATTCCAGTTCTTTCTTGATTGTAAATGGAAATCAAAATAAGCACGTTTATTTTTGTGATCATATTACCCTTTCAAGTTCACTTCTCTTTTTCATTTACCAGAACCAAATTAAATTTCAGTTACCGCTTCTCTTTTTCTTTTTTTCTTTTTTTTTTTTTCCTTTGTTTGTTTTTCTTTTTGGTTCACAGCTCCTGGAGAAAATGAATAAGCCCTGGGGAGAGAAAAGAATGTGCCTGAGGAGAACGCTAACCGGACCATGGTAAAATCCGAGCACACCAAGTTAATCTGTTCGTGTTTTCGCATGATTGGGATTGACAGCCAACATAATGATCACGTCTATCTATGCATATGCGTATGTGGTGGGTTGCTATATGTACAGGTTGCAGATCCAAATTGAGTGTCTTGCTGTATACTATTGTTGCCACTCGTATAATTTTTATGTCTCCATTTGTGTGGCTTGTGTTTGCTTTTCAGTTCCATGGAGAGCGGATGTGGACTTCCTAAGTTCGTCCCTCGAGTAGAATTGTGCGACGTTAGCTAGAACTTAGACTAGTTATCTGTTAGAAACTCTTTTGGAAACTTTGATGTTGTTGGGACTGTGTTATTAGTTTATTGTGATGTCCTTTGTCTGTTCTTTTTTCAAATGTCAAATACTACTATGTAATCTCAAATAAGATACAATCAGTAACCAAATGGTAACATGATCTATATTAGAAACGAATCAAACCAGGGAGGAGTCACTTTAGTATAAGCTTTCCCCCTCACAGGAACAACCCTACAAAAGCTCTCGAACTAGGGAGACAAAACTTCATAGAGGAGATTAAAAAGCTCCACAAGTGGAGACTAACAACAAAAACAGTAAAACATTATATGAACAATCTAGTAATAAAATAAACTAATTACAAACTACCCTCTCCGACCACCAACAAGCTTCGCCAACGACACCAACTGAGCTAGCAAATCGAAGTCAGACACAAAGAACACTACTGCAATGAAAATAATAGATTCGAAATCTCCGCGATGGTAAAGGTCATCTAAATTTGACACTCTCAAACCTAATCTATTCTTCAAAATGGCAAAAAACGAGACAACAACCGTACAAAGACAAGACCACCATCACATTCCTTCAACTGCGAAAACCCGATGGTCGACCGACAACGAAACAGAGGAGCCCAAGATGGGTCCACCCCCGCTGATGCCAATGTCAAACAATCTCGGACGAGTTCTCGCAGAAACTAAATTGGTGCGGTGCCGGCTACAGCAAAGCCAGAGCGGCTAGTTGTGGAGGCGGAGAGGCGGTCGAGATTTGCTACTTTTTTTTTTCCCACTTTTTTCTAGACCGTCCGAAACTGAGCCTTCCAAGTTTTTAGATTAGGGCTTTCGAGAAAATTCAATAGGCTAGTTGCTCAAATCAGTGAAAAAATTGAGGGTGAGGAATTTACATGTCACAAGAGAGTAATGCTCCCTTCATAACAGTCTCAACTACATGTGGTGTGTAAAGAATTGCAGTTCAGCACCGATTCACACCACGCAAGGTGATAAACCACTTGAGCAAGTTGAGCAAGTTGCGTGGACAAGCGTCGCCTTGCATGTCGCTGATCCATTAGAGTTCGCCATGTATCTCAGAAAAAACATATTTTAAAGGTCTCTTCCTTCTATAAATAGCAAGCCTATAAGGCTTGTCAAAGGCATCTAGAGATAGGTCGAAAACCCATAGCAAAAACCCCATTATCACATGTTAGAAATCTTTGTTAGCTCTATGGTTCTAATGGCCTTTAACAGTCTCTTGTAACAAAAGAGGTCTGACAGCAGCCCAAATTCATAAGTAAATTCCCGATTCAAGTTTACCAGCGCAACACCTGATTCGTCATTGTTTTGTTGTCCCTATTTTATTTCCTATCTTTATTTCCATTTTCATCAATCTTAAAACCATAATCACTCCCCCCAAAATAGCATACTATTGCTTCGTAGTCATTGGCGAAAAACGATCGTTAATAATATTAAAGATGGTTCAGTTATATTAAATTTGTTTGATTTTAAATTAAAATTTTGTATCCAATCGTGTTACGTACAAAAAAAAATATTCGACGAGTCAAACAGAAAAATAAATAAATAAATAAATTGTATCCATTTTAGTATATTTGACTTAAATTTTAAAAATTTAAAAACTCTAGCGATTCATTGAAAATTTCAGAAAATAAAATATGATGAAATTTTATCCACACCATTGAAGTAATGTAAACAAACGGGCTCCAAAGTGTGTAAGGTATGGAAGATGTTGATTACAAATTAGCTTCACAATCATCCATAATTGCATATGTTAATACAAACCGGGATTAAAGTAGTCGTATTTTATTCAATCTATGTGTGTTTCTGGATATGAACTCCAGCTCGGATAAGCCATTTCTTATTTTTCAGTTCTGTCCATCGTCCTCTCCAAGGCTGCCAACTTTATAAATTGGCAAATCTGAAAATCACGAAAATCAATTGAGAGTTATAGTGGTAATCGGACTTGTAGAGAGAGATGCTCAGAAGTTTGGCTAGGAGAATATCGTCATCGGCTTCCAGCCGATCCTTATCACGGCGGAGCAGCCCGGGCTCGGACCCGACCCGGGCATTCTGCTCCAGTATTCTGCCGGACACACTCGACCGGGGCTCCGAGTCCTTCGCCCGAAACTCGGAAGCCATGGAAGGCGTGATTTCTCAACTCCACTCGCACATACTAAAGGTATTGTGCGTTTTTTAGATACATTTATCTCTTCTTTAGCTCTCGTAAGTGCGTGTGATAGCCTGAAATGTTGGGGGTTTTGACGCCTTGCAGGTGATGGGTGGCGGAGGGGCCGAGGCCGTGAAGAGGAACAGGAGCAGGAACAAGCTTCTTCCGAGAGAGAGAATCGATCGGTTGATTGATCCTGGTTCTTCATTTCTCGAGCTTTCCCAGGTTCAATTTCCCATCTGATTTAAGGCCGTTCTAGTTGGTATCATCATGATTTTGCTGTAAATGTTGTTTCTGTCGAAGACATGTGATGTTCGGATCATATCATACTTTACTGAATTAAAGTCTGTAAATCGGATGATGTGCAGCAGAGGGCCTCGTGGTGGTGGTTGTAATGGTCAATCGTTTTTTTGGTACTTTGCATCACTTGGGTTCATTGGTAATGTTGAAAAGATGCAAGATTAGCTCAATGCTGTAAAAGGGTAGTACTTACTGACTCACATAGTAATGGCAACATCGACATAATATACCTGTGGTTTATTTATTACTGCACACTTGTTGCCATTGTAGGAGTTTTTGTGAATGTTTAGCATTTAATCTTTTTATTAGAATACCCGATGATGACTATGAGAAGTTATGTTTGTCACACATCGATTAGTTATCGGGATATTATTGTGTATAAGTGTGGGTTGGCACCTTCCCCCTTTGAGCTAGAGGGTGAGTTCTACCCAGGTTCATTTATTATATCATCAGAGCACCCAAGTTTTGTTTGTTTGGAGGCGATGTCAGGTTTGGGTTTGTTGTGTATAAGTGTGGGTCGGATACCCTCTTCCTTTGAGCTAGCTTTTGGGAATGAGTTTTACCCAGAACCATCTATCAATAATCAATCAGTGAACTTTGTTAATAGTTGAGGTATCTCTTGTGAATTTACTCGATATTGGATTTGTGATCTCCTTAATTTTATATTTTCTGAAAGGTAGCTTGCTGGCCATGAATTGTATGATGATCCATTACCATCAGGTGGGATAATTACCGGGATTGGTCCAGTGCATGGGAACCTCTGTATGTTTGTCGCGAATGACCCCACCGTGAAAGGTGGAACCTACTTTCCCATTACAGTCAAGAAACATCTTAGGGCACAAGAGATTGCTGCGCAATGCAAACTGCCCTGTGTGTATCTTGTGGACAGTGGGGGTGCTTTCCTCCCGAAGCAAGCGGAGGTCTTTCCCGACAAAGAAAACTTCGGTCGGATTTTTTACAATCAAGCTCTGATGTCATCAGAAGGCATTCCCCAGATTGCATTGGTGCTGGGTTCTTGCACGGCAGGTGGGGCTTATATTCCTGCAATGGCTGATGAAAGCGTGATGGTCAAAGGAAATGGTACCATATTTCTTGCTGGACCTCCACTTGTGAAGGTCAGTTGCTGCTTTTATTGAGCTAGAAGACCTTGGTCTGCATGTCGCTTGGTCATTATTAGTCATTTTGTTTTTTCCTTTTTTCATCCCCTTTAGTAATTATTAATTAATAAATAGGACGTGTTTCCTTCTTGGTGCAACGAGAACCTATTTATGCTCGGCTCAGAGATTTTTTTTTTCCCCACTGGGTGTGTGAACTTGTTTAAAAAAGATAATTGTTCGAAGTTTTGGTAGGCTGCTACTGGGGAGGAAGTTTCTGCAGAAGACTTGGGAGGTGCATCTGTCCATTGTAAAACATCTGGTGTAGCAGACTATTTTGCTCAAGGTAAATCTTCAGTACATACATATATATGTAAGTCTATTTATCGTCCTTCTTTTAGTTGTTTTCCGGTGAATCAAACTGTGAAGTTATATCCATATTGTAGATGAACTTCATGCGCTTGCAATAGGAAGAAATATAGTTAAAAATCTGCATATGGCTGGGAATATGAGTGCACAGAATCATAAAACATCTTTTAAGGAGCCTTTATATGATGTGGCTGAACTTCGTGCAATTGCACCAACTGACCTCAAGCAGTCATTCGATATCCGATCAGTTATTTCACATATTGTCGACGGTAGTGAGTTTGATGAATTCAAGAAACTCTATGGCAGTGTAAGCCCTTTTAATCCTGTCTTATATGTGGTTCTTTCACTGGTCCGTTATTACGAAATTGTAATTCTGCATTTTGTTTTCCATTGCGCAGACACTAGTAACTGGTTTCGCAAGAATATGCGGCCAACCTGTTGGAATAATTGGGAATAATGGTATACTGTTTAACGAGTCCGCTTTGAAAGGGGCTCATTTCATCGAATTATGTACTCAACGCAACATCCCATTGATATTTCTTCAGAATATTACTGGATTCATGGTAAGTTGTACCTCTGCTCTTCCTATTACCCATGGTGGTTTGACAGAATTTATGCTGCTTGAATTATGGTGATGAATTCATTATCTGGTAACTTTGTTACATTGGTTAACTTCTTTTTTAATATTTCTTGTCAGAATAAGCATGTGACATATGAGATGTAAACAGTTGCTACCATGATTAACAACGTGTTGTAAATGACACAAGTTAAAACCACTAATGCCCTCTCCTGACACGTTCGATATTTTCCCAGTAAGTTGGCTCGTGTTGGAAATTAGTAGAATCAAGTTTCGATCTATGTGTCCACTAATTACATTTTGCTAATCGACGCAGTTCGGTAATATGCGACATCCTTCAAGTCCTTTTCTGTGTGAAGTTCTTGTTACTGTTTCTCATGAAGCTAGTAAATAATAGAATCAGTTCCTTCCCAGTTGACGTCAGTCATCAAAAACGATCATATTGTATTGCTCGTGTGAAGATAGTAAGACACCCCCACACTGTTCCATTTTAAGCTATGAAATCCAAAAATTCAGGGTTTACTTGAGTATTTTGAAAACTGTTCAAGTGCCGACTCTATTTATTGCTGGAACTAAGTTTACTACTGCTCCCTTGAACAATTGTCTGTCTTTTAAGACTTTTAAGAGCAAACTTATGTGTTTGCCTCCTTATCTTATTTGAGCTATTACATCCCAAAGAAGAGACTATTAATTTGGAAATTCATTAAGATATATGCCCTAGTAAACAATATTGTAGGTTGGCTCAAAATCTGAGGCCAATGGTATAGCAAAATCTGGAGCTAAACTGGTGATGGCAGTTTCTTGTGCAAAGGTTAGTTTCTCCCAATAATTCTCAATACACCATTTATATCGTGCTGTTTCCTTTTTTTAATTTGTCTTCTCTTTTATTTTTCTACCAAATTGCATTTAGGTTCCCAAGATTACGGTTATAGTCGGTGGAAGCTTTGGGGCTGGAAATTATGCAATGTGTGGACGTGCATACAGCCCTAATTTCCTGTTCTTTTGGCCGAATGCCAGAATCTCTGTCATGGGTGGGGCTCAGGTAAATATTACTCGTTTGTAGTTATAAAAAAAAAAGAAATGTTCATTTTTACAAGATTTTGAAGTTTTCCAATTAAAACTACTTGCACGATTTTCTTCAGGCTGCTGGCGTGCTGGCCCAGATTGAACGTGTCAACAAGAAAAAGGCTGGAGTCGAGGTAAAGATTTTCAGTTTGGCCCTCGACTAGACCTTCTTCGTTTAAGCACACATTCAATTCACTCACATATTTAAGTAATATATATATATAATAATATGCAGTGGGCCAAGGATGAGGAGGACAAATTCAAGGCAGGTGTTGTTGAGGCGTACGAACGAGAGGGCAGTGCATACTACTCCACCGCGAGGCTTTGGGACGATGGTGTGATCGACCCAGCAGACACGAGAAATATCTTGAGCTTGAGCTTAGCCGCTTGTACGAATCGTGGCCCTCAGAGTACTAAATACGGTGTCTTCAGAATGTGATGATAGTTAGCCCATTTGGGTTGCTGAAGAACCAAACGAAAAAATAAATAAATAAATAAAAAAATGTAGCAGCAACTTATGGCTTTGTTGTTATCAAAGACTGAAGGAGGCAAAGGCACGTAGTAAGAAGATGTTGGGAAAATTGCATTCCATGATTCAATGTAATGGGTTTGATGTTAAGTTGTTCTAGTTGCCATGTGTATATAAAGAAGAAATTTGAATAATAAAAATAAAGTTTTTCCTTTTATGTTCTTGGTATCGAGATTCTATTAATACTGGGAAATCAAAGATAGCATGTTTTTTTAGTGTGACATTGATGCAACCAGCGCTCGTGGCCTAATGGATAAGGCGCCTGACTTCTAATCAGGCGATTGTGGGTTCGAGTCCCACCGGGCGTGTAGTTCTTTTATAATTCTTTCCCCTTTGAAGCTGCTAAAGTATCATCATTTAGCAGTCTTGTTTAGGGCTATCTCCGTCTTATTTTCAGTCCTTTTCTTTTATGTTTTCTACGTCAGCATTTTAATTTTCATAGTTGTTTCTGTATATTTTTTGTTGTCATATTTAGAGCCCTCATTTTAATTTCCATAGTTGTTTCTGTATATTTTTTGTTGTCATATTTAGAGCCCTCAATTTAGCCTGCGGCCCGTGAGCCGGCCCGCCCTACAAGAAAGGCGGGTTGGGCCGGGATTTTCTAGGCCCGCTCCCCACGGGCCAACCCTCGCGGGCCGCGGGTCAAGGGGGGGTGGGGTGGGCTAGCCTGCAGGCTGGCCCACCTTATTTAAAAAAAAATGAAAAAAATAAAATAAAATATATATATTATTAATATATGTTAAAAAAGTTATATCTACTTCTATTTTACGAGAAGCTGTAGTGCCCAGTTGTAATTTTTAACATTTAAATTGAGTAATTTGTATTAGATGAACTGAGGTACGAGACTTGCAGAAGCAGAAATAAAGAGATGAGAGTTCTGGAGAAGAAGATAGAAAAGAAAAGATATTAGGGAGAAATTAATTCCAAAACTTGCATTTCACATGTTCCTTCCACATTAAATAAGTGATCCCTATCTGCATAGCAGAAAATTCACCCCCAAAAGACGGACGCCTTAGATTAAAACTGATAAACTCCTCAACTAAACAAGATCTAAACACATGTCCCCTAATTAATACCATTGAGAAGTCAAAATTCACTTCAAATCCCTAGTTTCACCAGACCCGACCATCTTCTCTTCATCTTCAATCTCCGGCTCCTCTCCTCATGTCCGGCTAAAATCTCTTTTTCCACATTCTGATTCATCACAAAAGCAAATTTCAGTTCCGCCCTCCTCCAGGTTTCTAGTGTTTTTTATTACATTATTAATGCAGTTTTTTTATATAGAAAAAAAAGGGCTGGCCCGTCGAGCCCGCGGCCTGTGGCGGGGGCGGGTTGGGCCGGCATTTTACAGGCCCGCCCTGCCCCGCCAAAAGGCGGGCTTTGGCAGGCTACGGGCCGGCCCGCCCCGCGGGCCCAATTTGACAGCTCTAGACTCATATCTATTAGGGGTGTTCACGGTCCGGATTGGTCTGATTTTAGCCAAAACGATGACCAAATCAGATCTAACGGTTAATTTCTTTTCTTGTTCATAACCGGACCGGTTTTATTTTTTAGCCGACCACAATCCGGACCGCATTGGACGGTCCGGTTTGGCGGTTAACCGGTTAAATTCAAAATCTTTGTTTTGGGCCTTCAATATTTATTTTTTTAATTTTTGACTTAATTTTTATTTTTTAATTTTGGGTCCAAAAGAGATTATTTGGGCCTGAAAATTAAGAAAAATAATAATAATGAAATTGAAGGAAAAATAAGTTAAAAAAAGGTCGGGGAACTAAGAAGCCTGGGAGTGGGAAGATGGAAAAAATTAGGGTTAACTCAAAAAATTAGGAAGAGAAGGTCGGAAAATCTGAAAATGAAAAAACGAAGGTGGGAAACAATAAAAAATTATAGTGTCTTACAAAATTAAGTCAGCAAAAAGGCCAAAAAGTGAAAATGAATGTATTGTATTTGTCGGTCATAGTGAATAACTGAATGTATATATATTTGTTGTAGTTTTTTAATATTTACCGGTCCGGTCCGATTAAACCGGCAATTTGCCGTAGGTAATTCGTTAACCGGACCGCTTACTCTGGATTTTAAAAAAAATTAACCACCGAATTTTTTAAGGCTTTTTTAACTGACCATTTAACCGATCCGCGGTCCGAATTTACGGTTTTTTTCGGTTAAAACCGGACCGTGAACACCCCTAATATCTATAGTCAATTTCACATTTTCAGTTAACACAAAATTGAATTTAATGTGAATAATAATAATAATAACTTTTCGAAATATTCATAACTTGATGAATTGACATTTGCTCAAATGATATTTATTATAAGACACTTGTTAATATACAATTTTGAATAATTATGAATGATTACATGAGTCGTGTTTTTTGAATGTTGTATATTTGTCGGATGTTACCAGAAGGAATATATATATATATATACACTAGGGATTATAGGCCGTGCACAGCACGGCCGGCCCATGCTAATCTATTACTATATAATACGGACAAGAAAAATTATTTGAACAATTCGAAAATAATCATTTCGTTTTCCCGCTTCAATACAGTGTTTTCCCGCTTCTTCAATTCGTAAAATTTTTTTTTGAATTTTTTCAGCCCATGCAATTAGGTAACCAATCAAATCGAATCTTTTAGCATTTAATTTGGTAAGGTGTTCCGATTTTAGCATTCAAATCCGATTTCACTTCCTTTTTTTATGCCAATCAATCCGATTTTTTTGGTTGTTTAAAAATTTGTTTAGATTTATATTTTTATTTTATTAATATATTTGAAAGAGAATCAATAAATGTTTATCATAACTTTTATTTTAAAAATAAATTTGAATAAGCATACCTTTTACTTTATATGAAATTCAAAATTACATATTTTAATATATTAATAAACGTTTATTATTTATTTTTTCCTTATGTGATATAATAGAATTTCGGTATTAAATTTGTAAATTCAAACATTTAAAGGAAAAGATTCCAAACAATTTTTTTGGGTAAATTTCATTTTATCTTGGTTTTCATTATCACATTTCTAACAAACTAATTAGTATTATATTTTTTTATCTACATTATCTAACCGATTTTTTATGATACAATTAATATAATATCTTAACAAATTAATCATTTGTCTAACCGGATTTATCTCTCTAACAAACTTGTCAATTTTTTTAAAATTAAAATGGTATGATTATTCTTATGGAGATACTTATCAATATATTAAATATTTAGAAACTTTTTTTAAAAAATGAGTTATCCCTCCTTTTACTTTATTTGAAATTCTGACTTATGTTTTTAAATATATTATTATTTATTTTTTTACATGTAAATATTTATTATTTATTATCTAAGTGATAAATATTATTGATTTATCTCTTTAATAAACATTTATTATTTATTTTTTTCCTTACGTGATATAATGTAAATTTGGTTACTAGATTTTTAATTTCAAACATTTAAGAAAAAACCACGAACGAATTTTTTGGTTACATTTCATTTTATTTTAACTTTCATATAATCACAATCCTAACAAACTAATTAGTATTAACTATTTAATCATTTGTATAACTTGATTTAACTCATTATCAAACTTGCCAATTTTTTTTTGAAATTAAAAAAAAATTGGAAGATTTTTATTTGTAAAATAATAAAAAATAGCTTTACTTTAAAGTCTGGATTATTTCCATTATTTTTTGTACGTTAACAATCATATATTAAAAAAACAAATCAAAACCGTAAGGTTTAATAATATTTCTTAAATAAAAAATATTGTATAAAGAAAAGTATTTAATATTATATATTTTTCATTGATTGTATTTATTTTATTTTCATAATAGACGAGATGTGAAAAATATAAATAATTATATTTAAAATAAAGTCTAAAAAATGTTTAAAATATGAACTCTTACGTGATATACACTAGTTGTCTTGGAAATTGGCTTGATGATTTCACTTCATTTATCTACAAAAAAAAAGAATTTAATATCTTTTGGAAGGAATGTTATTTCTATCAACTAAAAAATAACATATGTTAGTAAAAAGAACATAGAACGCCAACATTGTCATGCTAAATCCATTATTTTTATTTTTATTTTTGGCCAAAAACACCACAATCATTTTTTGTTTTCGTCATTCACAATTACACCTCAATTATTTTCGAAATCACATTGGCGAAGTGAGAGAAATTGAACGTATGAAAGCAAAAACATAGACATGTTTCTTATCCAATGAAGAAAAAAACAAGTGGTTGTGCATATTTTTTCTTGTTAAATTAAATTTAGAAACAAAATTTTGAGATTAGAACTTAACCGTCCCGGAAAACTAAAAAAACTAAAAAAACATGAACTCTGATGTTATGCTATTAAAAAATATCATGAAGCATCAGCAAAATGAATTTCACATGCCAATTATTCTGGAAACCATATGAAAGCAATATATTCTTTCAATAGCAAATATCTACTCCTTAACTTAAAATATTGTTAATTCCTCAATCAATATGGTTATAAATATAAAATAAATATGGTTATAAATATAAAAGATCATGTAATGTACTCAATTTCATTCTAAAATTAATTCTTTACCAGTATCATATTTGGATCAAATGAGTCAATGATATTATACATTCTACTTGAATAGGACCCATCTAAGTTGAATTGGAACTCAATGAAAAAAAATGATATAATTGGCATCGAAAACTAAATTTCTCACTTGAACATATCATCTGTCATTGAAAGTTAAACAATAATGTTCAGTAATTAACACAAATTCTAATATACTAACCATTACACACTCGTCATCCAGAAAACTCCTAAATAATAAAAACTTAACTCTCACGGCTGAGATAACTTATCCCTATGGATCATTTTTGTTTTCGCTCACGCCAATTACATTGTCTCTTGCCTAAATAATACTAACCATGTTCAGTAATTGGCGTGCTCACCTGGCTGCAGGAGAAAGGCAAAAAGTTAATTGGCGTGCCAATTACATTGTCTCTTGCCTAAATAATTACCGTTCGTCTCACTGTTCATCGTCGTTTGCTTTACTATTGAAGGATATTCTTCAGTTGTTTTTTTCCTTCTTAAAGTAAGTTAATGGTTATCGAAGTCCAGAATTATTACATCGACACAAAAAGTAGTTTCTTTTACCAAAAAATAAAAGAGAAACAGACTAATTACCAAAAACTTTTAAATATATGTTTCAGATGTTGATCGTCTAGTGAAAACTTAAACTTAATAGAGTA